TGGAGCTTGCAATCTCCTAGAAGAAAACTATACTAAACATGTACATGCATACTTAACTTTGGCCATTAATGTTATGAAAGAAAGGTATTGGATTATATAAAAGTAACAATTTTGTTGAGATTTGGGTAGGATGTGGTAGCCAGCAGTGAATTCCCAGGAGCCAGTTAGACCAATTTTAGATGGGAAGATGTTGCCTGGCATGGATTATGGTTCATGCCTTTAGGCTCAGCATTTAGGAAGCAGAGAGGCAGGATATCTCTGTGAGATTGAAACCAGCCTGGTCTATATAGCAAGTTCCAGGCCACAGCTGGGACTTCATGGCAAGCCGAGGGGAGGGGCAAGTCTGGAATAAAAGGAGGAAGGAATAGTGGAGAGACAACTCATTTTTTCCTTTTTCTCTTATACTAAATCTCTGAAGATGGAGCCTCAGTTATTACATGAAGGGTTTAAAGCAATCTTATTTTTGCTCTTACACTAGATACTTTGTACAAAAGGAATATGCATCAGTGAATCTTATTAGCAGATGTCTTCAGGGCATAAATTGATTCTGTGGGAGACTCCATCTTTTTTACTTTTCCATTTAACTAATTTTTTATTTAAGAATGAAACCCTGTATGTCATCTTGTATTATTTCATATTTTCCCCAACGTGTGATTACAAATTCATCTCATTTTCTCATGTGAAATTCATTTGTGATTCTTTAAAGCTTGCTAAATGATGCATTGTTTGTTACTAAGTTGTCTGTAACAATTTCCCCATTAGGGGCATAGTCTTTGAATGTATCTTTCTGTGTGTTACCAAATTCCAAATGTCTGAGGAGTCTACATAGAGGAAAGAATGACATTCACTGAAAGGGATTTGCAGCCTCTTGAGCTTGGTAGTAAATTCTTAATTCTAAATTCTGCATCTTGGGCAAAATGTGCAGTGACAGATATGCTCAATTTACTTTTCATCAGTTGCATCCTCAAGGTTTTTACCAAATTCCCCAGCATGGAAATAAAAGCACGGAGATATAGTTAATGTCTTCTGTAAGTCAGTTCACCATTGTAAAAAGTGAAGCACGAGTCTTGTTTTTTTGTTTTTTGTTTTCCTTAATTTTAATTTTTTTGAGATAGAGTCTCAGTTATGTATCCTGACTGGCCTGGAACTCACAGATCTGCCTGCCTCTGCCTCTTGAGTGCTGGGATTAAATGCTTGCATCATTATGCCTGAGTGTAGGGTCTTGTTAATTTCGACAGATAATGCCTGGTTTCTGGGCTTCTGGATTGCTAAGATATATCTTCTCTTCTCAGATTTGCTGGTAGGTCTTATACTTATGAAGTAAGATTATGAAGTATACACGTAAAACGTTTGCCAGAAGGCAGAGAGAGCATTTTGGTAGAAGCTAAGGAAGAGACTTCATGGGTTGGGCATGCCTTGCTTAATTGCTTTTCTCATAATTTCACAGAGTTCGTCGATGCTGTTGAACACTAAATACTTGGAAGTGCCTATATTTGTTTAAGTAAATTTTTCTGTAGTTACAAGTATGTCCCATTATTGATTCTTTTTCATATTAAAGTCTTGAAAGTACACTTAGTTTATTTTAATTTGATATTAACTAAGAATAGAGATTTTTTAAGAATGGCACTTTTTTTGTAGGCTCATTCCTTTTCTGTTCTTACATTTATAAGCATAATATAGGGCAAATTGTGTACTTCTTTTGTTGTTGATGATGATGGTGAATGGTTACATGGCAAGTATTTTTGCTTAACATAATAAATATTTTATGTCAAACCAAACGTTCCTGCCAGTGAGAAACGTTATTTCATATTTTTTTAAACTATTATTTGAATAGTTCAAAGGGTCACACAGTAGGAAAAACAGATGGTGCAATCAAATGGATGAACTCACTAACCTGATTATTTCTGTTATATCATATTACTTAGGCTACAGCTGCGTATTTAAGATTCATGCTGTTTTCTTTCACATAGTGTTTTGTTCTGATTAGATAACCATGGTTACAAAAACTACAACCTGTGCTCTTTCTGATGTGCTTTTGTGACATCCTTTGTTTTGGGTTTGACCCTTTCATGCAGATTTTCTAGAAGCCAATGGGAGCATGCAGTTTTATACGAAAGTCCCTTGGTTTTCAGTCCATAATTTCTTGGCTTTTTCATGTGAGCTTCTTTTTAATCACTCTGAAAAAGATAAAACAAAGAAAAACTTTAAAAAGAAAAGCCTAAGTTAATCCATTTCATTTCCAGTGATTTGATGACTGTATTAATAATCCCAATATTTGAAAAATCCACTTCTCAGCGTTATAGTCTCACCTACCATGTGTCTGTTACAGGTTACATATATGGTGTTTCAATACTTTTTACCAAGTGAAGGACAGATTTCTCTTTATTACTTTTTTCTAGGTGTTTTTATAGATTGATTTGTTTTTGACATTTCTTATCACTTCCCTTTCCTGTTATCTTTCTACTTGATTTGTGACTCTCATTTGATCTTTTTTTCATTTCCCATCCTTACTATTTTCTTTTCTTTCAGTCCTTTGCAGCAATTTTTGTCTATGAGCCTTTTCCTAATCTAACTTTCAATTGCTGTTAATCCCTTTTGGGAACTTCACCCTCATTGAGTGTCCAGACAAAATTTATGTTCATTATTGCAAAGTGACTTTCTTTCCCAACTCACCACCACTGTTTATTAACATTACTGTATTAAACACCTGGATTTGAAACTTCAAGTCGTCTTTGAGGTATTCGTTTCTTCTTGCTCCAATTATTTCCTAATTCCCAAGGATACTTTTTCCCGAAATGACTTTTTCCTTCTTTCAGATTTTTGACCACTATCTACATTATTGAAATTTCATTTTAACTGATTCGTCCCTTACCAATATATTTTCACCTAATGTAAACAGCCTTTTAAATACTAATGTTAGTTTATTAGACGCATGCATTTATTCCTCAAAGCAGGCTTCTCAGACATGCAACAGCATGTCCTAGTTCCTGTTCTTTTGGAGCTGTGTTCTAATGGTGGGAGGGAGGAAGTGGGAGAGGAGACTAAGAATAAACAGGTAATTTTGGTTCATGATAAAGGCTGTGATATCATAGAAGGGGGGTTACAGAGGATTGCTGAATTAGCTTGGATGTTCATGCAGACTTCTGGGTAATTATATTTGGCTTGAGATAGCAAGGCAGCTGGAGCTATCAAGGTTGGGAAAGAGAAGAAATATGAAAATGCTTGATAACATCTTAGTGGGAGGCTTAATCTTTAAAGTAACTATTGTGCACAGAAAGATCTCTGTATACCATCAGAGCAACATCACTGGCATCCAGAGGAAGGGGAAGGAATGAGTTACTAACAAATGCAGCTGGGGAAATGGCCCACCTGTATAAAATGCATAATGCTTTCTTCGGTTGACTGTTCCCATTCATGCGCATGGGACAGCAGTTATACAGCCAAATAAAACTGATAGAGATTGAAAAGTTCTGTCTTGGGAGTGATTTTATTTCCCTTCCATTTGTTTTCTCTTAAGCTATAGTTCCTACTATATATTCAAGGTCAGCACATAATTTGTTTTTAAGCAATTGTATCTGAAATTTTCAACACACTTTATTAGGATATGAAATATTAAATTGAAAGCATTTCCGCATTTGGTGGGCAGTGTTTAAACTTTAGTCTGTGCTTGCATCTCAGGTTGTCAAGCTCTGGTCTTGAGGTGTAAGGGTCAAATCCACACAGCCTCTAGAATGTTACTAGGTCAGGCACAAGAATCAATACAAAAAATTAACTACACAAAGCTTTGTCAGCAAGGAGGTGTGGTGCCGTAGTCTAAGATTTAGTTGTATTCTTAGATATATACAGTTTTTAGAAATTCTGGCTTTTTTTTTTTTTTGTTAATTCTTTGTACTTAATAAAGCTTCCTGGCTTCTTTCTGAAACTTCTCATCATGGTCCAAACAGACAGGTCTGTGGTATTTAAGATATTTGCTTAAATTCTTGACTTTTATACTTTTCTTAGATACTTTTGAAACTCCTAATAGTTCCTATTTTTTTTTCTTTTCAGAGAAAGAGATCTTTTTTTTCTAAATATTTTATTTATTATTTTTTATTTTATATGTATTGCCTACATGTGTGTAAGTGTACCTGTGTTGTGCAATGCCCATGGAGGTCAAAAGAGGGCATCCTAGAACTGGAGTTATGGACTGTTAGCTGCCATGTGGGTGCTGGGAATTGAACCTGGGTCCTCTGCAAGAACAGCCAGTGCTTTTAACGACTAAGCCATCTCTTCAACCCCAAAAGACATCTTTTTAACAATTCTATTTTACTGGGGATGGGTATCTCATTACCTTGACTGATATTATGAAAAAGGAGTACCCAAAAGACAAATAATAATGTTAAAGCTTTACAGCAAATCATGAAAAATAAGCTCTATCTATCTATCTATCTATCTATCTATCATCTATCTATCTATCTATCATCTATCTATCTAATGTATATATATCCTACATTTTTAACTAAATCTGGAACACAATGTTTACCCCCTCTTAGTACTGAGCAGTCTGTTTGATTAACTTGCTGGTGTCCTAAGGCCAGAAATAAATACCACTTTTTGATGTAGGTATATTAAAACAAACCCTGTTCTTAAAATGACAGCCATCCATAAACACTCACCAAAACTCTACCCTGAGTGATACACTTTGTTCAGTGCTCTGTGAGATGCAGAAATAAATCATGGCATGCTTGACATCTGGAGTCTTTGTACTGTACCCGTGTAGACAAAATGACCTGTGTTTTTGCCTAGGCATTTTACTGTTAGCACTTTGTTCCTGGAACCTGAAGTTGAAACTCTTTTACTGGTTTAAAAAAGACAAAGAAAAAGAAAAGAAAAGGTGTTTGTTTGTTTACCAGCTAACATAAGTACTGACTGTTTTTATAGACTGTTTTTAGATGCTATACTAGTTTAGTTTCTTCTTTGAACTTTATGTTTTTTACTGTAACTTCTTGTTGTCTCCCTAGTTTACTGCAAAGTGGTCAGCTTGAAATTGTGACTGGAGGCTGGGTTATGCCTGATGAAGCTACTCCACATTATTTTGCCTTAATTGACCAACTTATTGAAGGACATCAGTGGCTGGAAAAACATCTAGGTATGTATTTATGGTTTTGCTCTTTAATTTGGGCTGTTTTGGGAAGTTATATTAGGGGATATGAGGTGAGGCTGTATTTTTTTCAAACAGCCAATCTAATTTTACTAGTATTAGCAATTATTGAATAATTTATTATTCATTAATTTGTACTTATTAGGTCATAGACAATTATGTAGACATACAATAGTTTCATTTAGGATCATTGACCTTGTTTTATCTGTTATTTTATCTGCTGACCGAATTGTTTTATTAATTTAGAAATTTATTATTTTAATTATATTAGTTAAGACTTGATCATAGGAGGCCAAAGCCAATTATTAGCTTAAGCCAAAATGGAGGTGGAAGAGAAGAAAAAGAAATTATTTTATTATCGAGAATTCCAGGGACAGAGGAATAGGTATCATAGCTCCAGGTAAGGCTGGGTCCGGGGACTTGTTAAGCTGCTGAGGTTGTTTCCTTGGTCTCATCTTGTTTGTGCTTTGTTCTTGGCCATGGCTTTTCCACATGGTGTATGAGATGACCACACCATGGCTTTTCTACATGGTGTGTCAGCTGAAATGCTCAGTTTTCCTCATTAGCAACCAAGAGAAGGAATTTTTCTTAATACTTTATCTCATTGGTCTAACCTGGGTCAGATGCTTTTCAGTGAGGTGGAGGAGGTGAAATCTCAAAGGCCTAGTGGTTTTGATGGTAATGGTCTCTAGGGAGAAGGAATTGTGGAGGGTGGGCAAGTCGGCCCCACCTGAACTATGACAGCAGATCCTCCAGGTGAGTGAACTCATGGAATAGGTCCCGTCTGAGGGAAGACTTCTACCTAGAGAAGTGAGGAAGAGGATGCTGGGATGATAGAATCAGATGTCCTCTACAGTTCACCAAATCTTAGGACTAGTTGAAATCTTCTTGATGTCTAATATTTGATATGTAACTCTTTTTAAATATCTCATATTTTAATATAATTTTAGCATTTTCCTCATGGTAAGTATCCTTTTTATTGAAGGTATTTCTAGATATTATTTAAAATTTTCTCTTTAAGGCATTAAAAATCCCCCATGCTTATAATTATTTCTCTAATTTTTATTTTGATACAATTTTAAATCTAAACAAAAGTTGTAGGAATATTGCAAAGTAGACCTAAAACCTTCACACAGATTCACTAATTACTAACATTTTTACACATTTGCTTAATTTTTCTCTTTCCTTGAATAATGCAGTGTAGATGCTGCATCTGTGGAGAAAAACATTACTGTAGCTGGTCTGAGAGTCTCCCTTTGAAGGCCTTACTTGAAGGCTGTCCCTTGGCTGTCTACAGGGAACTTGGATTTCTTAAATAAGAGCAGCTCTCTGTTTTTTAAACTGTAGAGTGTGCTGAGTCTTACTCCAGGAGCCTGGAGTTTTAGAATGGCTGTGCCTGTCACCAGCTCCCAGTGGAAATCTTGGACACGAGTGTGATGAGTTTCTTAGTTGATGATGTGTCAAATATGCTGTTAAAATTTGGTGTTGGAAGAATTCAGCAGGTCCACAGGGGAGGTTCTTTGGTGCTTACTTCAGCTTTCCTCTTAAAGAGTCCATTACACATGCCTTTTCTCCTTGATTTTGCTTTATCCTTTCTCTGTAACTGGCCATAGCTACATGACAATACTCTGAGACCCATGAGTTTTCTTGACAAATCACCAAACATGGAAGGTGGTATGGGAATTGAGGGAACTTAGAGACCCTGTACATGATGGTCCTTTTTCTTAAACTTTGAACTGTGTCCTAGACCAAGAAGATTACCTGTATATTAACCTCAGTTGTGGGTTTTTCTTTTTATTTAGCTTTTATTGAAATACAATTTATATGCAGTACAATATTAAAATCTTTAATGTAGAATTTGGCTGTTCTCCCCTGAGTTCTCTCTCTCTCTCTCTCTCTCTCTCTCTCTCTCTCTCCCTCTCTCTC